GTGTGTGTGTGTGTGTGTGTGTGTGTGTGTGTGTGAGAGTGAGGCTGGTAGGAAAGGTTTGGCCAAGGCCGCCCTCCTCCTGAGCCTTGAACTGAGCGTGAGAGTGAGCTTTGTGCACGCCGTCGGGGATAAGCCCCCGGACGCTGGAATGTAAGGAGTAGCCATGGAGGGTTATGACGAGGACCAGACCACCCAGCTGTCAACATCATACACAACTGCCTTTTATTTATTAACACATCACAACCCTCCCCTCCCGCCACTGCTCTCTCCCCTGAGTGAACCCCCCACCCCACCATGCCTCCACGCCAAGGCCCCATTCCTCAGCTTGCCCCGGTATCTGCGTGATTATTACAGACGCATGTGGTACGTTAGGGAGGACGAGTCGAAAAGAAGGAGGTTTGCTGGGAAACAGTTGCTGCAGGAAGAAGAATAAGCTTTAATATCTGTGGCTGCAGTTCAGATTCAAAAACAGAGACGTGTCCAGCTGAGGTAAACACTCCGAGGTCGGCTTGTAGGCACCAGGCACCGCAGCTTATGGAATGCACTTTTCATTCAGAGTGATCGGTGTCACCGGTGTGTGTAGTCGATGTAATTGTAATTCATCACATGCAGCAAACTGAAATATGTTTGGTTTAATGTTTGGTGTTTCCATCGCCATGACAACTCCCTGCTCTCATCCTTTGAGTGCAATGTACCACAGGGGAGATGTGGTGTCCTTCATTTCCATCACTCCTCCCAAAAGAAAATGCTTGCAGAACTAAAAAAGATGATTGACAGAAAATTAATCATCAGTTTTGGATAATCGATCAATAAGTGTGTTTATAAAGCATACATTTCCAATACCCACTTTTTTTTATCTGCTGAAATGGAAGAATCTGAGCTTCTTTCTGTATTCGTATATTTGTTTCTTTTTAGACTTGTTGGACAAAACAGTTTTAAAGTCCAACCTTGGATTCTCCTTTTTTCACTATTATCTGATTGTTACCTTCAACAAGGAGGTTTTCACCCCTGTCTGATGGTTTATTTGTTTGTTCCTCAGCAGGATTACGGAAAAAATACTGAACCGATTTTCACAAAATGGGAGAATTTTGACAACTTTGGCAAGTCCAGGAATTTTGCTTAACATTTTCGTTTTCTCAGGTAATAATTAATGGATCTGGCGGTGGTATGTGCTCCGAACCTCTGATCCAGATTGGCACCCAACTTTTCTGGGTTCCTCCTTGGTTCATACTGCACCCCTCCACAAAATGTAAAATGAAATTGATGTAGCTCAAACAGACAGGGGTGAAAACTAACCTCCTTGGAAGAGGGAATTAAAAAAGATCCATCAACTTGTCCTCTAATAAGTTGAGCTCTGTCCGGTCTGAGGCTCTTATCACCTGCTAGTAATCCTCCATGATTTACTATCACATTTACTCCCAGGTGTGCTCTCCTCTAATGGACTGACCTTTTTTTTCTGGGAAGGATGAGCGATACTCCTGCTCTCCACCGTGGCCTTAAATGCCTCCTCCTGTATCAGTGTGTCAGAGGAGGAGCTCCATCTGTGGTTGAGCTATGAGTCAGAGCTAAGGAGAGGCGTGAGCGTTATGAGCAGGAGAGTGTGCAGGACTGAGCGTAGTGCCGGGGTCTGATTCTCCCCGGTATTTTAATGGTTGGCGTGTGGAATGTGTGGCAGCTGGCCACAGTCCCAGGATCAAGTCTAGTGTTACCAGCTCCGGGCCTGTTTGTTTTACAGAGTGAACCGATGCCGCACACACCTAAAACTCCCCAATACTGGACCCAGGCCCCTGCAGCGTGCCCCCTGTGGCAAACCTCGCTGCTTTAACCTACTTACTCACTTGTTTAGCTTTTAATATTGAATTATGTCGCTCTTTGACCTCGGCCGTGCGGCTCCGAGCCGAGAGGTCCCTGCTCTTGTGGGCAGCGCTCGGTGTCCTCCAAGCTTCTGTGAAAAATTCCATCCGGGCTCTGCCAAACCGGTGTCAGCTGTAATAAGGCTCCCAGTGCTCATGATTTGCCCAGGTGGACTTCTCTGGCTCAGGCGAAGCTTTAATGAAAAAAACAAACAAAGCGTGATTATGTAGAGCTGCAGAGATTCCAGTTATTTTATGTAGATTAAAAGGTTTGTTCCAAATGGAAAACTTTCCAGCGCTACTTGTCCTCTGTGGACATGCAGGGCCACCTCTGTTCGTCACTGGCAAGCTTTTATTACTCTGTGCTTTTTCCTGTGATGGATGTTTAAAACTCAGCATAGCCAAGAAATGAAATATTCACAATAAAAGCATTCATGAAATATACAGTGCATACAGGTATACCCAATAATGTGATATTAAAATAAATAGCAAAGTAAATAACAATAAAAAAGTTATGAAGGGGGATAGAAAGATCAACTACATAGAAGGCATGTGTGTAAGTGCCATTGCAGAAGGGATAAATCAGCAGGTAAAACATAACAACACCCTGATGATGATAATTGGAGCCTGGATATTAAAGGCCGATACCAATTTAGGTTTTCCAGTTTCCAGTTTTACTAAATCTACCGTGCATCAGACTGAACCATGATCTTGTATCATTGAGACCTCAATAACGTTTAGCTTGTTCTCATTGATAGATCCACAGCCGGGCTCCACCGCGACCTTGCAGCCGGAGGTTTCACCCTCTCTCCATCCTATGCAAAGCGACGAGGGCCGCGACGAAGACACGTTCAACCTGCCGGCTGACCGGAGCAGCAACCGCCCCACTCCTGAGGCGCCGATCATCATCAGCCCGCCGCAGACTCACAAGCCTGACATCTACGATCTGGAGTGGAGGGCGGGGCGTGATGGAGGCAGTCCAATTGTTGCCTATTTTGTCAAATACCGCAAAGTGAGTAGTACATTTCACTTCTTAAAGTCAGATTTCAGTTTTACCACAAAGCCACGACCTTTCACTGAAGTGTTATAGACTAAACCATCTGAGAATGGGCGAATGCAATTTCTTCATTAAGTAGAGAAGGTATAGAGCCAGGGCCTAGACGACTGAAAGTTGGTAATTTCCTCTTTAATGTCCTACATTTGACTCAGTCACAATCTCACTCTGACCATAAAACAGCAGTGAAACTAGTTAAGACTTTGTTGGCAGCAGGACTCGGTTTTGCTGGAGCTGGAAATTGTGACAGAAATCTCGCAGGCGTCGTTTCCGAGGCTGTTCCCTGTTGTTACTCGGAAAGAGACTGAACTGTGGAGAATTGTAGAGCGACAGATGCTTTTTATTTGTCATTTTGACTCATGTGTTTGTATTTGTCTGTGTGTGGCCGTGTGTTTGTGTCTGCGTCAGGTCGATGAAATGGGAACAGTGGTGGGGAGCTGGCACACGGTTCGCGTCCCTGGCAGCGAAAAGACCCTGCGGCTGTCAGAGCTGGAGTCGTCCAGTCTCTACGAGGTGCTGATGGTGGCTCGGAGCTCAGCGGGCGAGGGCCAGCCCGCCATGCTCACCTTCCGCACGGGCAAAGGTCGGTCCAACCCCTGGCTGAAAACTCTCAAACTCTGTGAAAATAACTGTTATTAGCCACGAAGCTCTACTTCCAGTGTGCTTCGGTGTTTCTTGTCATATTCATGGGAACTGCTGACCACTGGAAGACAACACTTTCCCCATTTTTCAATAAAACCACTGGAGGATTAAGAAAATGTTCAGCTGCCTAAAACATCAACAGTAAATGTCAGGTTTTGGTGTCACATCCTCTGAGTTACAGAGCATCTGGACATTTCCTGTCTCAGCGTTTTTTTTGCACTGACGTTCAACAAGTCGGAAAATATGCAAATCGCGCTGTTTTCAAGTTGAGTTTGTCAGAGAATCGACTATGGCTATTTAAGGCTGATATTTGTGTTTCTACCTTCAGAGCAAACCCACAGAATCAGGTTGTTTTGCAATTAATATAAGAAGAAACACAATTTTCTATTAAGCCGACTTTTAGTGAATCGAAGAAATCCAATAAATGAAATAGAAGCAGATGATGAGACAAGTTGAGGAGAAGCAGATCCACCAAATCGAATATTTTACACACATCGTCATAACAGCCAGACCAATACAAATGTATTGTACACAGCCTTATGTTGTATCTTAGGGTTGATTATTCCTTTAAATATCTTCCTCCATCAAATTTTTCAGTTATAATTCTAAGAATCATAAAAATAAAGGTTTTAGTGAGTTCTTTGAGCCAAATAAAAATAAGGACAACTGCAACAATAATGTAATACCACAGCGGCTCTGAAAGAAATGTTCTCTGGTCAGAAATATGTCAAATGTTGCCAAAAACCATGGATATGATCATATCCCCTGGGAGCGTTTATTTTTTTTTTACAAAAGTTTCTCAACCAAAAAAATGCCAACCAGTCAAAAACCAGGCTCTTGTGTCCAGATGTGGATTCAAACTCAACTTATCCACCCGACAAACTCGACTGAACTTTTAAGGCTAAATTGTACTCTTAATATACTTGAATTAATAAGTTAATTTACATGCTCACTGCTCAGTTTACCTATATTTTCAATTACCTGTTTGGTGATATTTTTATGTAAAGATGATCATGATGCTCCCACAAGCTCTTCTTCATTTCCAGAAATATCCCTCTGATGAAGAAATACTCAGTAACTCACTAATACAGCTTTAATCCATCTTTTTTGTATTTATTTTGTACCTGCTGTTGAACCTGAATTTCACCCAATGGGATCAATAAAATAATCTCTTATCTCATCTTAAATCCAAATTCGAAAAATATGAGGTGCGAAAATATCTTGATGATTCTTTTTCATCAAATTTTGTGTAAATGGAGAATCTAAATCTTTTCTAATGCCACTGAAATGTTTTACTTTGCCTCCTCAGTTGTAGTTTCGACCTTGTTTGAATATATAAACAAGATTTTGTATCGTTTCTTAGGAATCAATTGAATGAAATCATGATGTTTCATGTTACCTCTGTGTGTGTTGGATACACAGTCATATCACACACTCCTTCAAGCAGATACACGGTTAAGTCGAGGCGGCAGAGTTGCCATATGTAAACGTGAAACCCACCCTGATAAAACCAGAGCAGCTCTGAGAAGCAGGAGGAAGTCTTAGATTTCAGAGCCAACATCCGGAGCTGTTCCATGTGCGTGTGGTGGAACCGATAGCCCTGAAGACCTGTTGGGCCTTGTTTTCTCACTCCCAGCTTTTCCTTTCTTTTCTTTTTCTCCCTCCCTCAGAGAAAAGCACCACCTCCAACAAGAATCCATCCAAACCTCCCGTCGTCCCGATGCCCCCCAAAGTGCAGGAAGACAAAACCTCAAACACACACTTTGGAGTCATCATACACGACAGAGGTAAATGTGAACACAATCGGTGTTAACAGTGTTTGGCTGCTGCAGCTGCTGGACTGTGTACAGATGTTGAACGTGTCCAGATGTGGATTGTGGGATGTTCCTCATGACGCAACAAGGCTTTTCTCTCATGCTGATAGTTATTATGGGGTTCATGACTAAAATGTGTTGAATAGATCTCAGAGGCCACATCCACACACATCCATCCCACAATGTCTTGATTTAAAGAATAATTTTCAAACTAAAACTAAATCTGTGTTTTGGCTCCGTATCAGCTGTTATTCCCATCCATACTAAAACTGCACATCACGTGACCTCTCATGTATGCTGGGCATGAACCTGCCTGTGCACACAGGAAGCATTTGGTTGTTAGTTGCAGAAAGAGCTCAGCTACAAATGTTGATAGCAGTTGTTAGCAAAGACAACAGGGTCAGCAGCACTTGTGTTTGATTATGCAAGTTGCATTCTATACTGGTAGCTGAGGCTAATACCGCTTGGGGTCATGTGACAGGAGCCTGACAAATCTGCAAAGTCTACTTCCTAAAGACCCAATCAACAGGCAGCATTGAGTGTCTACCTCATCGTTTCAAAACACGTCTCGCCCAGAGTATTTAAACTAGAACGGGACAAGCACGGTTATCAGTTTCGTATTAGCAGCTCTAATACTCAGCAGTAGTGTGGACACCATGCGTATCCCTAGCAGCCGATTTTATGCATTTTCAAACAAAAACGTAGCCTTAGCTTAATGTTTAGCCGTGAGCTGCATTGTTTCCGTGAGTAAAAGCAGTAAAATTACAGTTGAAACCTGTAATGACCTTTTTGATGAAGGATGTCTGACCAGAAAGCTGTGAGCATTCACACGGCTTCAGGGTCAGACCTGATGTGTGTGTGTGTGTGT